ACATCCTCTTCTGAGAAGTGTTTGTTCATGTCCTTGGCCCATTTATTGATTGGGTTATTTGGTTTTTTGGTGCTTAGCTTTTTGAGTTCTTTATATACCCTAGAGATTAGTGCTCTATCTGATGTGTGAGAGGTTAAAATTTGCTCCCACGATGTAGGCTCTCTAGATTGTTTCTTTTGCTGAAAAGAAACCTTTTAGTTTGAGGTCATCCCATTTACTGATTCTTGGTTTTAATTCTTGTGCTATATGAGTCTTATTAAGGAAGTTGGAGCCTAATCCCACATGATGAAAATTAGGGCCTACTTTTTCTTCTATTAGATGCAGAGTCTTTGGTTTAATTCCTAGGTCCATGATCCACTTTGAGTTGAGTTTTGTGGCACTAGCTCTTGTGGCCTCAGAGGACACCTGGCTGACCTTGTCTGTCTCAGCCCAGGTCTGGGGCAGCAGTTCACCTGACAACCAGAAGGGGGAGCTCCAAGGTTTCCATATAGGAAATGGTTCCCTGAACCACCCTTCCCCTGTTCCCCAGCAGCTGTAGCTTCCCAGGGACAGGAGGGAAGTTCTTCTGGAAGAAGCAGTGGCTGTCCACTCTAAGTCTGCAGGCCATGAAGGTATCAGCTCTAGGCTCCATAACCTTAAGAGAAGCAGCCCTGGTTTCCAAGGCCCGACACTGCGTGTAGGTAAATTTCTGACCTGGGAGACCCTCCATGCCAACCTACCAGTTGAGGGGCCTCGAGTTACTCCTCAGTAACCAACCCAGGCCTCAGTTTCCTCCCCTGAAATAGAGAGTTGAAAATTAAAGCTCCTGGTGCCCAAGCACTCCTGGGAGTGGCATGAGCTGAAAACACATGCCCGGTCCTATTCGCTGTTGCCATTTGGTGGCATGAACCATGTGGGATTGCCCAGTACAAGAAAAGAACAGTGAAAACTTGCTTGTCTACTGCAGACTGTGATGTTCCCACCTGAACATCAACAATGCACAGACAAGGAAACACTGTGACCATGTTTGGAGCAAGCTTACACAAGACCACTCCCCAATCACAAAGTCACCAAACACCTCCACTTCTGATCAATGTGAGCAACTGTTGCTTCTTTTCCAATGAGGATTCTAGCCCACTTCAATCCTCTACCCACTAGAAGAAATTCATTAAGATAGCCAATCTCTGAATGCTCCCTTCCTCTCAATAGCATCTGACCAGAAATGACCCTGCTTCCTGTATCTGACCTTAGATCATCCAGCACAAGACCAAATCCTCCATGGAACTCCTCACAATTCTTCTGTATGAAAATTTTTCCTGATACCTAAGGCAGATGTCCTCCCTTGCTGCAGTAAGCTAAACAAATGGCCTTCAGCCCATAAACTAGAAGAAAGAATTCCATCCTGATTCATCAACCTCAAACTTGATATCTTAGCTGCTTGGGTTGCCATAACACAATTACCACAGACTGGGCAGCTTAAACGATAGCAAGTTGTTTCTCAGAGTTCCAGAAACTACAGATCCAAAATGCAGGTTCCAACAGGTTTGGCTTCTCCTGAGGCTTCTTGTCTTGCAGATGGCCCATCTCTCCTGTATCCTCACATGGCCTTTCTCTGTGCATGCACACACCTCGTGCCTCTCTTCCTATGAGAACACCAGCTCTATCAGCTTAGGGCCACATTCTTATAACCTCAGTTAACCTCAGTTGTCTTCTTCAAGACCCTGTCTCCAAATACAAGCACATGGTGAGTAGGAGAGCAACATAGGAATTTTGCAGGGGGAGGGACCAATTCAGTCCATAATACTTGACTTTAATTTTTTTTTCCCTACGTGTAATAAAAGGGCCTTTCAAAAGAGGAGAGAGAGAAAATTTCCCAACAGGTTGAAACAGGAAAGTTCACTGTCAATCAGAAATCCTTGCTAAGAGAACAAGCTGCAGTGGGAAGAGGAAGACAGAGAGTAAAGAGAATTCTAAGGGAATTGCTGCTACGTGGTGGCAAAGTCCTGGAGAGCCCACATTCTTAGTAACCTCACTGCTTTGTCTGGGGCACTATTGGGAAGTATTCTACATGGGACATGGCTAACCCCGCACTAGTCTTGCCATAGAGATCTATTACACAGATGTGTTTCTTTCTTTCTCTCTTTTTTCCTATTTAAAAATTCTTTTATTTAAAAAAAGAACCATTAAAAATAAAATAAAATTTTAAAAGAATTATTTCGAGATTAACTAAAATAAATAAATAAAGATTCTTTTATTTATTCTTTTCAGTTATGATATAACACCCTGACTTAATCACAAAATTCCCTCTCTCCTTTTTATTCCCCCCCTCTCTTTCTCCCCTCCTCCTCCTCCTCCTCCTTCTTCTTCTTCCACCCCTGCCTTGTTTTGGATTAGCTTCTGCACATCAAAGAAAACATTTGACCTCTGATTTGGTGGGTCTGGCTTATTTAGTTTAGCATGATAGTCTCCAGATCCATCTGTTTATTGGCAAATGCCATAATTTCATTCTTCTTTCTGGTTGAGTAATATTCTGTTGTATATATACCACATTTTCCTTATCCATTCATCTGTTGAAGGGCACCTAGATTGGTTCCCATGGCTTGGCTATTGTAAACTGAACTGCTATAAACATCGATGTGGCTGCATCACTATAGTATGTTGATTTAAATCCTTTGGGTATATACCAAGGAGTAGGATAGCTGGATCCTTGGTGGTTCCATTCCTTGTGTTTTGTGGAATCTCCATACTGCTTTCCAGAGTGAATGAACCAACAATATATGCATGTATCCTTTTCCCCACATCCTCACCAATATTTATAATTGTTTGTATTATTGATCATTGCCATTATTACACTGATTTTTAATAGTAAGGAGACTCAGGCTCTGAGAAATAGCTTGCTTACAGCTACACAGCTTGGGGGTAGCAGGTCAGCGTTTGAGCCATGACAGTGTGACTTCAAATAATCTGGCATCTTGTAGTTCACCACAAAATTGTAACCCAAAGGCTTGTCAATTTTGCTACCACACACCACTCCCTCCAAAAAAATGCAGCTGCCACAGGTATTTTTTGTTGGCAAGACGTATGCTTTCGATAAATTAATAAACCTTCTGGGAGTCCTGAAGCCAAAGACTCAAAGACTGTCTATTAAGCAAGGCTGTGTCTGCTGATTGGCTACCCTTGCTCCTGGCCCTGGTAAGTACTCAAAAGAGGCAGAAATAGTAGGAGAGAGGGGCGGGTCCAAGCTCCATGGAAAGAGGCAAGACTCATCATTCCCACTTGCTGCTGATTGCCTACTCCATAAAGAGAGTGGAAACAGACAATCAGGGTAAGGGAAAAGACCCTGCCCTGTCCCTCTTTGTATCTCTAGTAAGCAGCCCTGAGCATAAGGAAGGCCATGCAATAGATGCTCAGTAAACACCTTAGGAGTGAGAGAACAAAGGAGTCAAGGGGGTGATGTAGGGCATAGGTACAGAGGCGAACTACATCTGTGGTGGTTACTGACATAAGGGGAAAAAGGTAGGGATGAGTCTCGGCGGTGGAGTGCTTAACTGAGTCCCATACCAGATGTCTTTGTCTGAGCTTCTCAGAGGCTGAGGCAGAAGGATTCCTTGGGTCCAGGAGTTTAAAACTAACCTGGGCAAGATAAGGACTCAAAATACACAAAACAATTAAGTGGCAAATGATGGCTTGTTTTCTTTTTGATTGGCATACAATTTTTTTTTGGTTGTATATAAAGTATGATGGCTTGTTTTCTAATAAAGGAACACATTTGCTTTAGTCTACAGTGGGTGTCAGGAATTCTGCCTCAACATATTGAGGTTTAGAAATAATTCAGCCCAAACAAGGCTCCCAGAGAAGAATGACACATTGTCACATAAATCACAGATGGGTTTCATGTACTTAAAAAAACAATTCTCTCTCTCTCCCTCTTTCTCTCTCCCACAGACACAAACACACATACATACACATGAGACTATGACAACATGTTGCTTAATTCACATCCTAAATTGCTCCATATGGAGAGATGTCACCACAAAGGAATTATAACCATGTTGCTAGATGCCCGATGTCAACAAATGTTGATGTCTAGGTGAAACCCAGACATACGTTTAAGCTATAGGATATGGAAAACCTTCATGGAAATATACCCTTTAGCCTCTTTTAGCATGTAAAGTTGACTTGATATTGTAGATTTACGAAATCTTGACCACGGATCTAAAACATTTTTGAAAAAGGAACTCCAAGTGACCTTCTCACTGAAGTCATTCAAAATATGACAGTTATGCCTCCTTGTGCCCGAGCCACCTTCAAGGATATTCCAAGATTTGTGAGACGTGAATGTGCTGAAGTTGCTGAAATAATCCAAAGTCTGTTTACCAAGTAGAATGTCAGAAACTTTAGAATAAGGACAGTATCTGCATGTGGCTCTTTCTAAGCTCAAGCGTCCCTGCAAGTTCCAGCAGCAGCCCATGTACTGACTGAGTGAGCCAGCTTAGCACCCTGGACACCAGGCAATCCCTTCTGGCCAATTGTCACTTGAGGACCGGTGGCTTAGTCTACCAACTGCATCTTCGGAAGGGTAAACAGCCAGATTTGGAGTTTTAAAGGAGATCTCTGGCTTCTTTCTTTCTTTTTTCTTTTTTTCTTCCTTTCTTTCTTGTGATGTTGGGGATTGAACCCAGGACCTCACACCTGCTAGACAAGTGCTCTACCCCTGAGCTTCATCACCAGGACTGCTCAATGTTCTGTCTTCTGGGTGGAGAATGTCAATGGAGTAATAGAAGAAAGACAGAGGGGTGGGAGGGGCTTGAGTAGGCAGAGGGAGTCATCTAAGTTCCAGCTGAAGATGGAGACGCTTCCCAGAGGTAGTCAGCAATGTGCAGTAGATGAGATTGTCCAGGAAGAGTGACAGGGCCAGAGGGAGAGTCTTGGCCAGATCCCAGAAAGGAGCACAGATAGTTGTAGAATGGAGTCCAAGATAGGGCAAGGACTGCGGCAGCAGGGCCCTGAGAGATGTGCCGTGGGGAGAGGGAGGGAGGGCTAGTGTCCAGATTTTTGCACACAGGAGCAGGCTGCCTCTTCATCTGTCTTGCAGCCTCCACAAGCAAAGGTGGCCAATATGGGGACCAGAAGGAAACAAAGAAAGAAAATGCAGTGGACTCCCTCAACATGAGCAGGTAGTGAGCTGCTAGATACTTTGGAGGCTCCCCAAGCTCCGGGTGTTCACCAGTCCCCTGAGAATCTCATCAAGATATAGGTGTTGATTCAGGAGATATAGGGTGGTGCAAGAAGAATCTGGACCACAATAAGAAGAAAGGTTAAAGCTCATTCGATCTGCACCCTAACGCTGCCCAGGGAGTACCATGGGCTCTCTTTATGGGCAGGAAAGCCAAGGCTCCATGAGTTCCTGAAGCTTCCCTGAAGAGCCCCATTAAGGAGAGCTGAACTGGGCTGACTGCAAGGTCCTGTTTCCTGCCCTCCTCCCTGTGGGAGTAAATGGCCTGGTCCCAGTCATCCCCCTTTCTCCAGGTCTGCCCCGGGTTCCAGCCCTCCAGGCTTATAGATTCAGAGCCTCCTGAGATTGGCTGGTCTCCAGGCTGGAGCTTCTGAGCTTGCTTGCTGCAGCATCTAAAGATAGTTTACCTCACAGGAAACCAGACACTATTGGCTAACTTTGCAAATAAAGATGCCCTCAGAGAGAGGGAAAGGGAAATACTGGCCCCTGGCAGAGTCTACATAGGACAGGGTAGCTGACTGGCACATCCTGAGGTTCTCTTTCCCAGTGGGTCAAGGTAAGTGCACCTTAGTGGGCGGGTTGGGGTGGGCGGGGCACAAGGGAAGAGATCAGAGTAGATATGTGATGCTGGTGTGCTCATGAGCCAGCCTTTTCCCGAGGATGTTGCAGTCTAAATATGTTCAATGGAGTGGAAAAGTGGAAAGTGGGAGTGTTTGTGGGCAGGGGGTGGGGTGGGCTAGATCCTCTACAATACACATAACATAGTGGGACACAATTAGAAGCGTTAACAATGACATTTTAGGGATATGGAGAAAAACTTGTGGTTTGACTTTAACGGAAAAAAGCAGATACGAAATTGAATCTGGATGATAATGAGGTGTTACTGCTATTTTTTTTTTAAAGAGAAGATATAGTACTGGCTTTTTAAAAGAGCTCATATCCTTTAGAGACCCACATGTAAGTTTTATGGGTAAAATTCAATAATCCAGTGGTGCTATGAAGTGGGAAACAGATAAACTATTAACCATGAGGCTGGGGTTGTGGCTCAGTGGCAGAGCGCTTGCCTCGCACATGTGAGACACTGGGTTCGATACAGAACCACATAAAAAATAAATAAATAAAATAAAGGAATTGTGACCATCTACAACTAAAAAAATATTTAAAAAATATTAACTATGAGTTGTTAATTGTTGAAACCGGGTAATGGGTGCCAGGAGGTTCTCTCTGCTTTTGTATATGTGTGAATTTTTAATGCTAAAGAGTATTTTTAAATGACATCTGAATACTTACAATAAATATAAATGTATTTAATAGAAACATATAAAGATTAAATGTAAAAAAAACTGAAAGATAATTGTGCTTGATTCTAGAGAGTAGAATTATGGATAGTTCTATGGATTTTTTTTTTCCCAAACTTTTTTTTGCACCATCTACAATTTTTCCCCCCTTTGGTATCAGAGATCGAACCCAGGGGTGCTTAACCACTGAGCAACAGTCCCCAGCCCATTTTATTTTTTATTTTGAGACAGAGTCTTTAAGTTGTTGAAGCTGGCTTTGAACTCATGATCCTCCTGCCTCAGCCTCCCAAGCCACTGGGGTTACAAGTGCGCGCCACTGGGGTTACAAGTGCGCGCCACCGAGTCTGGCACCATCTGCAATTTTTTATAATGATCCTATATTGCATTTTAATTAAAATGTTTTTAATTAATAGACCTCTGACACAAATTTACTGTTCAATTTTGATATGTGCTTATATAACCCACTGTGAGAACACTTGGGCTCAGAAAGGTTTGTGCCATTGGAAAATGTGATCTTTGCAAAGAAATTATGAAAGCAACAGAGGAAATATGTTCCGGCTTGACCACAGCCGCCCTTTCTCAGAGGCCACAGCTGAGGACCAGCTGTGGCTATCTTTTTCTGGGTGCTTGTCTTGCATCTGTCAATCATAACCGCACAGAATTTACATCTGAGTCCAAAGAAAGATGAGGGAATTTAAGATTCTTCCTCCTGCTCAAAAAAAAAAAAAAAGTTCTTATTGTTATTGATTTAAATACTAGATATAGCATACTTGAGGCGAAAAGAAATTAAATCAAAAGTAAAGAATAGCAAACCATGTGAAATAGTCAAGAAAACTTCCCTGCACGGGTCATCCAAGGGGCCTAGGCTTCCAGGGAGGAGGCAGATGGGAAGGGCACATGGGCTGCTGAGCCTTGGGGGCCACTCTGGGTCAAGGGAGGGGGCAGTGACTAGGACTTGGGACCTCTGGAAAGCAGAAATGGCCTAAAGAAGGCCAGGGTAGATTCTTCCCTTTCACCTTCTTCACTTGGCTTTATTTTCACAAAGAGATTAGGGCAGGAAATGTCTCGATCCAAATTCAATTTGACCCCTCTTGGCTCTCAGACTGCATGGTGCTTACCGTCCCCTGGGAAGGAGCAATTACTCTGCCAGCTGCACATTTGTCTCCTTACAATCTACCTCCCCAACCCTCTCCTCAATTGTCCCCATTTCACAGAGTGGGCTGCAGACACTGCTTGGCTTTGGAGAGAAGTCCTGGCTCCTCTGCCCTTAGAAACTGTGCTCATAACTTGGCCTTGCTAGGTCCACTTCCTACTGTCACAGAGGACATTGTCCATGAGTCCTTGAAGCCAGGATTCAATAGGTGTTGATTTTTTGTGATGATGAGGGGCATGGTATATAAAGTCCCAGCACACTGCTTGGCCCATGTTTCATGTTCAAAAATAAAATATATGTTACTATCATGGGAAAACTGAGGCTTAGAAAGCTTGGGTATCTTGAGACCACCCACTACTTTCTTTTTTTTTTAGGGGGGGCAGGGTGTACTTGGGCTTGAACTCAGGGGCACTAGACCACTGAGCCACATCCCCCAGCCCTATTTTGTATTTTATTTAGAGACTGGGTCTCACTAAGTTGCTTAGGGCTTTGCAGTTGCTGAGGCTGGCTTTGAACTCATGATCCTCCTGCCTCAGCCTCCTGAGCCACTGAGATATAGGCGAGTGCCACCATACCCAGCATGAACACAGACTACTTTCAAGGGAGATTGTAAGAGATCCAGAGTTGTAGGGTCAGGAGAGGAGAGAATGTGTCAGAGCTGACTCAATTCAGAACCAACTTCTGTTCTCTTCTCTACCCACTCCGGGAGGCAGCCCTTCCCCACCCCAGTCAAATGTGGAAGGGCAGCTATGTCAGGTATGGTCTTCCCAAACCAGAGACCCTGGCATCATTTCTGAGACTCGGGGCATCAACTTACCCCTCCCCAGCCCACCCTCTGCCCTGGAGTCAAGAGCCCAGAGACGTTCAGATTCAACTCTTGTAGCAGATGAGCTAATGGGGAAAGCAGCTCACAATGCCCCTCAGCGGCTCACAGGCATTTGAAGCAGGATGATGAAGTCCAAGTCTCAGCTGGCTCTTCTGAGGAATTGTTTTGATTCCCAGGGGGCACTCTGGGAGTTCCAAGAGGCAGGCTGTCTCCTGTCACTCAATCTGCCCGGAAGAACCAAAGGAGACTGAGATTGCCACCTGAACCTTGGTCCAGCCTTCCCTCTTCAAGGACTCGGAATACACCAGAAGGGATGTGCAGTGGAATTTTTTTTTTTTTAAAGAGAGAGAGAGAGAATTTTTTAATATTTATTTTTTTAGTTTTCGTCGGACACAACATCTTTGTTTGTATGTGGTGCTGAGGATCGAACCCAGGCCACACGCATGCTAGGCGAGCGCGCTACCGCTTGAGCCACATCCCCAGCCCTGCAGTGGAATTTTTGTGGCCTCTGGCCACAGTGGGTGCTTCAATAACCTCATCTTATTATTTGACCAAAGTTCAACTATTTGGAGTTGTAAGTCTGGGTCAAGAAAAAAAAATCTCCATTACATCTCCTTAAATATCTTTTGAGACTACCTTTGTCCTTTTCCTTAAATTGATGTTTATTGTGGAATATAACACCCTGAAAGAACAGTACCCAGGTTAACAACTTATTAAAACCCATCTGCCATGTAACCACCACCCAGGCCAATGTAAAGAACCTGGCCTGCTCCCAAAAGTCTTCCTCACGCCCCCACCTAACCACAACCCCTCCTGCCACACAAATAACCACAACCCTGACTTCAGGGCAATTGTTTTCTTGCTTTTCCTAGTAGCTTCACCAGATCTACCTCTGCGCCCCCAAACAACATGGTTTAGCGTTGTCTGGTTTTGATCTTCATATGCGTGGGCTCATTCAGAGGTCTATTTCTGAGTTTGGTTTCTTTGACTCAACATTGTGCTGGATTTTTTTTTAATATTTAAAATGTTTTATTTTTTCCATTTTTCAGTTGGTATATTACAGTTGTACATAATGGTGGGGCTTATTTTTACGTATCCGTTCATACACAGAATATAACAATATAATTTGACTAATATCATTCCCTAGTATTTCCCTTTTCTCTTCCCTCCTCCCTCTGGCTGGTTCCTTTCCTCTACTGATCTCCCTTCAATTTTCATGAGATCCCCCCCATCCACCCACCCACCCACTTTCTTTTCCTTTTTCTTCTTTAGCTTACACATATTAGAGAAAATAAAGGACCCCTGACTTTCTGAGTTTGGCTTATCTCCATTTAACACAATGTTCTCAACTTCCATCCATTTTCCTGCAAATGACACAATTTAATTTTTCTTTATGGCTGAATAAGTCTCCAGTGTGTATACATACCATATTTTTTTTATCCATTCATCCATTGATGGACACCTGGGCTGGTTCCGTATTTGGCTTTTGTAAATGGTGCTCCTATTATAAATATGCATATGCATGTATCACTGTAGTCAGATGATTTTAATTCTCTAGGACAAACTGGTCATATGGTGGTTCCATGCCTTGTCTTTTGAAACCCCCAAACTGATTGTACTAATTTACAATCCCACCAACAGTGGAAAAATGTTCCTTTTTCTCCATATCCTCTGCAGCATTTATTACTATTTTCATCATTGGGTTTTTCAAATGCATCCATGTTATAAGAAATGTGCATGGCAATAATGTCCAAACTGGATCCAAACGGAAAGTCACACTCACGTGCATCAGCAATAGAAATAACAATAAACTGTGGAACATTCACCCAGTGCATTCCTATACAGCTGTGAGAATGAATAGATGACAGCCACAGTAATGGGATGGGATGGGATGCTTCCAGAGAGGCTGAGATGAACTTACAGATAAATGCAAAATTGGTACAGTTCCATGGGGCACTTCCCAGTGCATCTCCATCACACACAATTTTTATGTCTATGAACAAGAATGGGTGCTTGCTTTGCAACTGTCAATCATAACTCCTATCAATTTTCTATTACTTACAGCATTACAAATTAGCTCAGACAATGAAAGAAGGTGATATCACCAAACGGTGAGCGAGAGAGGACATCTAGCAATCTCTCGTGTGGGACTGTTTCAAAGCCTTTAATATTTTTTCCTTAGGTTCCTAGGGTAAAGTTTGCAGCTCCTCTTTCACCCCTCTTCTGCTTCCCACCTTGGCTCTCTGCATCCTTACCTGAGCCTCCACTCAGGCTAAACTGGGCTTTCCAGAATGTTCCCAGGACATGTGAGCCCAACCCAGCCTCACTTCCTTCTCTCTGCCCAAGAAACCACCCTGAGCTAGCCCCTCTGGGCCTTTGACTTCAAAGCCCACCTCCATTCATTGCCAGCTCCCTCTTTGTCACTCATAAGGCCTCTCCCACCTTTAATTCTCAGCCTAAATGGCAACATTTTTTGTGACCCTTCATCATGATCTCCAGTCCTAATGGGGACACATGTAGAGACCATCCCCTGGATATGTTTCATTGCTACACAATAACAAACATTTACAAGAACTATATCTTAAACATTTATATTCAGAATTTATCACACAGAAAATTAGCATGTGATACACATCATAAGTGATCCACTGAGAGATTGCAAGATAGAATAAAAATCTTATCCTCTTCTATAGCCAGCAGGCACACCCCATTATTGCCCATGTTTCTCAGATAAAGAACAGCTAGTCACCAAGTGAGAGGCCTTGACAGCACCATCTCTCATGCAGACTTCAGCCTAACCTTACCTGGTAGTCAGGGTGGCCATTGAGTTAACTGACTGGCTCCTTCTAGGAGGAAGCATCCTTCTCTTTCCTTGGTAACAAAGTTGGTTTGCATCTTGGAGCAGGGCCCTGAAGTCAGGCCCTTTGCTTCTTACATTTCAAAGAGATGATGCGCAGGTCCTTGAGAAAGGCCTAGTCCCAGTCGTGAAACAGATAAAAAAGCCTACCAAGCTTCAAGAAAGGACAGATACACATTCAAAGAGAGGAGGAAATACTTACAATTACAATTTTTCTAAAGTAAATGCCCTAAGGGGGAAAAAAAGAAGCAAAGAGAATCTCTTCCCTGGTATTCAGCAAGGAAAATTAATCTCTTGTTTTTAATATTTATTTGCTCTTATACTACCGAAGGGTAAGGATGCTCAATAAATATTGGTTTAATTAATAATTAAGTAACTAACAAGTCTGTCTCTGTCTCGATTATTTTTTTTAATTTTATATCAAGTATTTTCTTTCAAAATTTTACAGTTCATTTTGACAGAAATAAATAAATACCATAAAGTACTTTGAAGAGGAAAGAGTGTCAAACCCCAAGCAATATAAAGTATTTTGAAGAGGAAAAGAGAGGAAAGAGTGTCAAACCCCAAGCAATAGCAAGCTTTGGAAAGGGGCAACTCACAAACCCAGTGTGGGTCCAGGGTGCCTCACGTGTGGTTTTCTCTTATAGGTACTTTTTGGTTTGGGTGTGTGCATTTATGCTGCATAAAACCACGGTGGTTGGACAACACCGTGAAGTTCACGGTTCTTTGGGGATAGACAGTCACTCAATTTACTTGCACAGGGGATAGGGTACAAATTGCAAAATTTTTTCTTTATAGTTCCCTTCCATGGACTTGAAGCCCCCTCCATCTGCCACAGCCTCAGCTTTCTCTGTATTCTGAGGGGTGCGTGTTGTAAAAATAGCTGCACCCTACATGGGAAACTCATCCGAATCTAGTAAAACCAGATTGCCCAGCAGCCAGGACTATAGATGTGGTGACAGGCTAAGACTATTCCTTTTTAGTGCAAGGTTAAGCTCAAGAACTTTTTTGGGGGAGGAGGGTCATGCTGGAAATCAACAGATCCAGCTCTGCTTCCGACTAGAACTTCATCTGAACACTCCTAGGCTGTGACCCAAGCATGTCACACACCCTGGGCAGGCTGATGGCAGCAGACACATGCTTTCACTGACCTAGAACTCACATTTGTCTTTAAGGTTGATTCCTTGTGTTGAATTTTTGTTGAAAAATTGAGTGTGTCAGAGCTGGCAAGACCTCTGGAGGTGATCTGGCCCATGGTTTCATTTAACACATCAGGAAACTGAGGCAGGGCTAGAGCAACCTGCCCAGGGTCTCCCAGAATTCAGGCATAAAGTGCACAGGCCGCCTAGGAAGGTTGTGGCTCTGGAGAGGGAGCATGGGAGGAATAGACGAACTCTAGATAGGGCAGAGGGGTGGGAGGGGGCATGGGGTTATTAATGATGGTGGAATGTGATGATCATTATTATCCAAAGTACAGGTATGAAGACATGAATTGGTGTGAATACACTTTGTATACAACTAGAGATATGAAAAATTGTGCTCTATATGTGTAATAAGAATTGTAATGCATTCCACTGTCATAAATAAATAAATAAGCACCATGATATATCCGAAGGTAGGAAATAGGCTGATCCTTCAACCTTCATCCTTTTCTTCTCCAGAGAAAATGATCCCAATTTCTTCACCTCTGCTGATGAGAGCTAGATTCTGGGGGTCTGATGTGAACACCCCTAGTGGTGGCCAGAGGCACAAGTAATATCCCGCCCTGCCCATTTTCCACTTGCCATTCCCTGAGAGTCAGCCTGCTGGGCTTTGAATCTAGAAAGGAGAAACCTAAGCACTTCAGGGTTGTATCATGGACCAGCTTCTTTCAGAGGACTTGTGTCTACTATTTCTGAGTCTTAGTTCTAGGGAAGTGGCCTGTGATATTCTACAGACTTCCCCTCCAAGCAGAAAAGCATCACACAGTGCAGGAAACACAGAGGTTTGTGCAGAGGTGCATTTGGGATTGAAATCCTGACTGTATGGCATTGTGGGGCAGTTAACCAAATCTCTGTGAACCTCTGTCGGTCCATTTGTGAGGACAATCATTTCTCATGGAGGATTGTAGACAGAATTCAGTGAGATGGTGCGTATGAGGCATGATCTTGGCAGGTTCCTGGCATGGCAACGTGTGCTCCTTCTTAACTGAGGTTTTCTGGGGTTAACATGCAGTTCTGGAACACTGAAAGAACCAGGGCATTCCATGCAGTACGTTTGGATGGAGCAACTCTCTGACTTCAGTTGGTCCAAAGGGGAGAAAAAATAAAGCCTCACAATTTTCTTGTCTCTAGGCTGGAGCTCAAACCCAGCCTTCACACAAAATTTTACTAAACAGGGACCAGGAAAGGTAAAAATAGATAGATAGATAGATAGATAGATAGATAGATAGATAGATAGATAGATAACAGAAGATACCCTGGATTTGGAAAATGGTAAGCAGAATGTACAACCAAAAGAGGGTCGGGGGGCAGGGGGTGAGGGGGTGAGCAACACAAAAAGCATGTCAGAGAGAAGGCAAGTGTGGAAACAGGAAGCTCAGGAGGAACGAGGGGTGACGATGACCTCCACCCACCCATAAGAAAAGTCAAAAAAATAAATGAGCAGGCCTGAGAAAAGGAAGTGGCCAGAGGAAGTGAGGGGACTAGCAGCAGAGTAGAGCAGGATTTTTTTTATTCTAATTTGTTATATATGACAGCAGAATGCATTATAGTTCACATTACACACATAGAGCACAATTTTTCATATCTCTGGTTGCACACAAAGTAGAATCACACCATTCGTGTCTTCATACATGGACTTAGGGTAATGATGTCCATCTTATTTCACCGTCTTTCCTACCCCCCACCCCCCCTTCCCCTCCTTATAGTTCCTCTATTCCCCACATACTCCCCCTCCCAACCCCACTATGAATCACCCTCCTTATATCAGAGAAAACATTCAGTTTGGTTTGGGATTAGCTAACTTCACTGAGCATCATATTCTCCAGCTCCATCCATTTATTTAAAATTGCTATGATTTTTATTCTCTTTTAAAATTGCTGAGTAATATTCTATTGTGGATATATATACACCACATTTTCTTTTTTATCTACTCATCTAGGTTGGTTCCACAGTTTAGCTATTGTGAATTATGCTGCAATAAACATTGATGTCAGGGACACAGTCACATCAATGTTTACTGCAGCACAATTCACAAGAGCAGGGAGTTTTAGAGAGCAGAAGTTGTGCAGAAGTTGTCTCTGCTTGGCTAGGGAACAGACACGCGTTTCGTCCTTGCTGGCTGCTGCCCTGAGCTGTCGTGCACAGCCTCAGGTGGGGGTGCCTTTCCTGTGCCCCGTGCCTGCCTGCTGCTTGCAGCACTTGTGGGTATGAAACCTAGCTGAGAAGATGCTGCAAAGGCTCATCCTGTTGGATCCTTACATTCCGGTTCTAGTGTCCTGAGAGACAAAGGAAAGCCACTGTCTGGGCAGGCCTCCCTTGAGGGCCATCCCAAGGGCTGGCCACACTGCCACCTGCTGCCAATACCCTCTCTTTAAGTTCATCTCTCAATCCCTGAACATCTCAGAGAATCCGAAATAGAAGGTCCACACAGCTCAGGACCACTGTTCCTAAAGAGCGACCTTGCTAAAGCTATCAAGTTCGGGGACCATTCAGCAGAGGTGCTGTCTTCCCAGACCTTGAGTTTCTGGTGTAAACAGAACTCTTGCTGGGCTCTCCCTGGTTTTGCATTAAACCCAGGGCCTTGTACAAGCTAGGCAAGTGCTCTACCTCTGAGCTCCATTCCCAGCCTGAGACTGGGTTGGATCTGGCTCCAGCACAAAGACTACTCTGCCTTTCCAGGCAGATAAAACCCTGTGTCACCTCTGACACATGCCACCGAGGCAGCACTATTTCCCAATACTTACCTGGAGAGAGCTGAAGTTGTGTAAGAAGCAGGTATGCCCAGCAGCACACACAAGAGGAGTGTATTGAGGAACCTGTGTTCCCCACACCACCTTCAGATTGTGCTGTGCTTCGGGGCCTGTGTTCCTCTCTTGGGGCTCCACAATGAGAGGTTGATGGGTCTCTTATCTTGCTTCACTAGGTCTTCCAATCACTTACCCATTCATTCATTCATTCAACACAGCAGGCACCCATAGACCTCTCTGGATTCAAGGGCCCCTGGCCTGTGACCATAAAAGACAACTGTGTGCCCTGTAAGCTCCGCCAGGAACAGGAGATGCTGTCACCATTAGGTCCTGCCCTGGTCCTGCCCTGGTCCTGCCCCAGCGGGATTCTGGAGGTCCTGAAGGATGAGTGGCATCGGCGCAAGGAATGAGACAAGGAGTCGTTCCGTTGGAGCAATCTCCAGAGAGAGAGCAGCTTTCTCTGGGTCATCTTTTATTACAATTTTTCTCATCATTATGGATTCAGAATCATTAATAGAATACATCATTGATGTTACAATTTCCAGATTTTCCCAACATGTGACATTCCCTTTGCAATCATTATGGGTATAGAAAAATGCGTTATTAATTTACATTTTCCCAGGATGCAACATTTCCTTAGCAATCATTAGGAGTACAAAATCATTAATAAAAGCGTCACTAATTTGCATTTTTCAGATTTTTCCAAGATGTACTATTTTCTTATTAACAGATGCCAAACTACGTAACCAGACTCTAAGTCTCCCAACCTATCATTAACCTTTAAGTTTTAAGTTTATTTCTAATCGAAGAGCCCCATCTAAAGAAGTCCCCTTAAATCTTCTACTTAAAATATCCTAAAGTCTATAAACCATTCTTAAAGCATCTTAAGGACCCATACAACTAAAAACTTAAGAATTCTAAACTTAAGAAACTAAATAAAATAATATTTCTAACATTATTCTAAAACTGTGTCTTATAATGCTACTTTAATTAATTCCTATATTTATTCTCATAAAATGGGTTGAGCTGCTTTCTCAAAGAGTTTCTTTGTTTCTTAGTCAAGGTACACTAGTTCTTACATCTTTGTAATCTCCCTCACTGAAAGGCAAGTTTTGAACATCAGTCCACTTACTGCCAATATTAACTATGCTCATCATAAGTCCCTATGTGAGGTAAAAGAGGATTTATATAAAAGGGGGGGAATGTATCTTTACTAGCCTTAAGTTTCCTAAGTGTATAACATAACTTTCCCTTAATCAAATAAAACTACATATGGTGAGCTTTGTGCAATAAACATACTAATTAGGCTTTCTAAGAGGCCGGAGATATGGGCTTGGGTTCTTAGTTGATATAATCAACGTGGTGCCTAAAGTTCTCATGACCTTTTGGGGAATGAATGTTGTTCATTATCAGTTTTATCCTCAATGTACTGAGATAGTAGAACAGCCTTCTATTTTGTCCTCGATATGCTGAGAAGTAGTAGAACAGCCTTCAAGGCATGGACTAGCCATCTGAAATTTAATTAGGTTTAGCAATAAGCATACTCATGCTTCCTGTCAGGAATAGGAGCATAAAAATAAAAAGTCCCAATGACATCAAAAAGGGTCTCATGGTTTCGGTTTCCCACCTGTGAGGCTTTGCCAGCACTTATCCTCACTGTGACCTTGTCAAGACAGTGGGAGGGGGAGCACCTTCACCAATTCTCCCTTTTTTTATTTTTAAATTTTTTTTTTAATTTTTTATTGTTGGTTGTTCAAAACATTACAAATTTCTTGACATATCATATTCCACACTTTGATTCAAGTGGGTTATGAACTCCCACCTTCACCAGATGGGCTGAACGAATTCCATGGCTCAGCAACTTGAAGAGGACTGGAAGGGCAAGAATAAGGACAAGAATAATTAAAACACTTACACCACTATTGATTAAAATAGAAAATAAGGTTTTGCTGGAGACTGAAGAATTCAATTTGGAAACAAAAGTATCAGCTAACTCTGGAACGGATGTTTCTGAAATATGTGCTTGACTACTGTCTTTTATCTTTTCTTGTAATTCCTCTATACCTAGGGTTAAATTAGTATCTCTCCATAATCCTCATAAATGACATTGTATTTGAAACCATGTTTCTTCAGAATAGTTGTATGTGTGGGGAGTAACACAAATCCATTTAAACTGAGAATGATATCTAGTTGTCATTCGAGTTTTTATGTTTTGAATTTGATTGCCAATATAAAGGATAGCTTCTTCTAAAGCATTAACTCTTGCTTCTAACTTTCTATCTATATGTTCTTGGATCATAAGTGCAGTAGAAATATTTTGTGACAACTCATTTACAGGATGAGCAGTATGAACTTCTTTAACTAGTGCGGCAGTGGAAGCAACTATGGACCCTATTATACCAATTAATGCTGAGATTCCTAAAATTAAGGCAGCTACAAAACATTTAGGTCTAATTAGAGCTTGATTAACTAAATCTGATACTCGTAACCCAGGATCATCATGCCAAGAAGAATCTAATTTAACAGGCAACATAAGAAGGTTGATGTACAATTAAAATATGATTGGGTGCTGATATACTAGGATCAGTACAATTTGTTAATGTACAGCCTTCACAAACAACATCATAAGTTTCCTCTTCTAATTTTGAGATCTGTAAAATTCCTTGGTCTCTAAATAATATTGCATTGGGAGATCCCACACAAGCCGTAACAAAATGATGCTCATATACTCATATACATATCTATAGGTGCTATACATCTATAGATATGTATTATACCTAAAGAAGCCAATAACTTATAAAGTTCTGTATAGACCTGATAATGTTATTTGATTTTAGTAAAATATAGAGGAGTTGACCCATCCAGCTGAGTACCATCTATTCATAGGCTCCACTGCAGACCTCATAGCAGTTTGTCCTTGAGGAATATTCCAAGGATTTGATGACAAAAATCTACGATGATCATAGTCAAGTTTAAAAATAGAAAAATCATATATTGGCAAGGAAGAATTTTTTGGAAGAATTTTGGAAAGAATGTATGTTTCAGAAAACATACATTTATGCCAAGATGGAAATCCAAATTGTCTATCTACCCCTACCCATGAATAATCAAGATGGGACTCAGCTTTTAAACAGTCTTGGATCATAGGAGGAGGCCTTTCTGAGGGTAAAAGATCTTTAAAATCAGGAAAACCTAAAGCTAAAATAGAAAGTACTCAAAGATCCTTCACACCTCTTTCCTCATTTGGGGAATTTGTTTTTAAAAAGTTCTAAAATAAAGTTGTAAACAGACTACAGTTTCAGTAACACTATATATACTAAAACAAAGAGGAGGTAAATGACTGTGACCCTTAAAACTGAAATTATAGGTTGATATAGGAGTAATAAAAGAATTAGATTCACCGCCCAAGAGATCAGTATCATTGGTAAATACCCTAATATTTTCTTTTCCCCAGGTACATAGGTGGGTCAGGATAATATGCCCCAAAATATTCAGAAGATACATTTGCTACTTGACAGGCAAGAATGGCTAACATAGCAATATACATATTTTCTGGCATATAGGAATTTGACTAAGAAGAAATAAGTACTTGAGCTTGATAAGTCTGTTGTTTTATCTGTCCCCAAGTCGGTGGTTTTGCGAGTCTTGTAGAAGATGCTTGTCTAGGTGAGGGTTGAGAACTGTTGAAGTTCAACTGAGAAAAGGATAGAGTCAAAGTAGTTGTCAGATCCTCCTCAGGCACCATGGTCAATTGTGGGAAGTATTGGAGATCAGGAGGGCACGATCTCTTCTGTTTCCTGTTCCGAAGGCTGGACATTGGGTCGAATCAGTCTATCAGGAATCCAAATAGGAGAATCCGCGTCCTGTGGGAAGACACAAGCATACCCTCGCCCCCAAGTTAATAATACATCAAGTCCTTTCCATTTACCCATCAAGAGATCTTTCCATTTCACTAAGGGTTTTGCTGATATTTTTTTCACTTTCCCAATGTCTTAGCATGGGAGTTATTGCGACTTTATAGTCACAATTAAGGCGGTTTAATCACAAACAAGGCATGTTGTAGAACATGACGAGGAGAACTATATTCATATTCTCCTTCTTGAAGTTTAGTAATTGGAGCCTTTAGTGTTTGATGAGCTCTCTCAACTGGAGCTTGTCCTTGAGGGTTATAGGGAATTCCCATAAAATGAGAGATTTTTGAACATGTCACAAAAATTTTTAAAAGCATTTGAAGTATAAGCTGGTGCATTATCTGTTTTTAGTGCTAGGCGTCCCCAAATATGAGAAACAAATAAGCAGATGTTGGACCACATCTTTATATGCTTCCCAGTTCTTGCTGAGGCAATAATCACATGGGAAAAGGTATCAACAATGACATGAACGTTATCCAATTTTCCAAATGGAGGAATATGAGTAACATCCATTTGCCATAAATCATTAGGTCTTAAACCCTGAGGATTAACCCCCATGGATAGAGTTGGGAATAATGTTGGGCAGGTTTGACAATTTCTAACAATAGTTCTAGCTGATTCCCTAGGATATGAAATTGCTGTCGAAGGGCAGAGGGATTTTGATGATGTAAAGCACGACCAGCTGTAGTTTCTTGAGGAGTAAGAATTTGGGGTTTAGTTAATGAATTTGTCAAAGCATTACCTTGTAACAGTTCTCCTGGCAAGTTAGAATGTCCTCGAATATGTCCTATAAAATAAGGATGTTGTCCTTCTAGGATCAACTTTTGTAAAGAATTAAGATAATGAAAAATTGTAGTCTTGTGCTGAGGAAGAGAAGCTGTTTCTAGATGAGGAAAAAATTCACAATATGCTGAGAATTAGTATACAAATTAAACATTTGATCTTTTAACTGGGTAAAAGCCATAATTACAGTTACCATTTCTGCCCTCTGAGCAGAGGTTTCCTCTGTCTGTTGAACATAAGTTTTATCATTAATAACTAAAGATGCTCGTCCATTTGAGGAACCATCAGTGAAAACTAAGGCTGCAGTTGAGATAAGGGCTCAGAAGAGAACAATTTTGGAAAAATGATAGGATGGTTCTTAACCAGGTATAACAAAGGATGAGATGGCAGATGAAATTTAATGTGACCATAATATCCCTGTAGGCTATTTGCTAGTCTTCAGAATGTTCCATAAGCATATTTAGTTGATCTCTAGAGTAAGGAACCACCAAATTATGCATTTCTTTCCCAAATAACTCTCTACTTGTATGCCTTCCCATTATTATTAATAATGCAACCACAATAGGATATGAGCAGATAACCTTCTTAGAGGTAACTGGCATATGCATCCATTCTAAAGGACCTGACTGACACAAAACTCCTGTGGGTATATGAGGAGTAGGTAAAATAAGAAAATCCCAAATCTGAGTATAATCAACTCTTTGCAATTGTTGTCTATTAATAGCTTCTTCTACCTTGCATAAGGCCAGTTCAGCCTCTTCTGTCAAAACACGAGGAGAACGTGGGTTTGAGTCTCCTCTCAAAATATCAAATAATGATTTAAGTTCTGCAGTAGTGAGTTTCAGAAAAGGACGAATCCAATTAATATCTCCCAAAAGTTTTTGAAAATCATTTAAAGTCTGTAAATGATCAATCCATAATTTTAAACTTTGATGGGTAATAGCTTGAGTACTTATAATTCTATCCAAATAATTAAAAGGAGGGGATTGCTGAATTTTATCTGGGGCAATTATTAGACCAAAATTTTGTAAAGATTGTGTCAACCTCAATAAAATATGATGAAGCAATTGGACGTTTTCATGAACAATTAATATGTCATCCATATGATGGATAATATAGGCATCTTTATATTTATCTCTTGTTGGTTGTACTTCCAAATGCAACATATTTATGACAGAGAGTAGGGCTATTTTTCGTACCTTGAGGCAATACCTTCCACTGAAACCGTTGGAATGATTGTTTCAAATTGACAGAGGGAAGGCTAAAAGCAAATCTTTTATAATCATCAGGATGTAATGGAATAGTAAAAAATCAGTCTTGTAAGTCTATTACCATAACATGAAATCCTTTAGGGACAGCTAGTGGAGAAGGGAATTCTGGTTGTAGAGAACCCATATCTTCTTCCCCTGTAGCATTTATAGCTCTTAGATCTTGTAATAATTTCCATTTACCTGATTTCTTTTTAATAACGAATATAGGAGTATTCCATGGACAATTGGATGGCTCTGTGTGTTTTAATTCAAGTTGTTCTTGAATGAACAAATATGCCCTGTGATTTTTCTATTGTTAGGAGCCATTGTTCTACCCATACAGGCTCATCATTTTTCCAAATCATTTAATCTGCTGTTTCAACAATGGCCCCAATTAAAAATCCTGTTGAGCCTCTTCTACAAGGACAGTACAGAGACACACTCCCATTTTAAACATTATATCTTGACCCCATAGAGTAAAAGGAAGAGAAGAAATCACATATGGCTGAAAAGTTCCTGAATTCTTATTATCAGTCCATTTAAGTATTTGAGTGCTTTTTGCTATATTAGTAGCAGTTCCAAGTCCCCTAAGTACTGAGGGAATCACCGTTGTAGGCCAGGTTGAGGGCCAATCTTTTCCTGCTATACAAGTAACATCTGCTCCTGTGACCAAGAAACCTCCAATTGTTTTTCCTTGAATCTCTAGTTTTTTCATAGGACAAGAGTTTTGAATTTTTTGAACCCAAAATGCCATATCATTAGAACCAAAACCTCTAGTTTGTCTTTGATCTTCTGAAATAGCTCAATTTCCTATTGATAAACAGGGAAGTAACAAGATCTGAGCAATCTTTTGCCCTTTATGAATAATCAAAGTTTTTTGAAATGAAGGCTCTACTAAAATCTTAATTTCTCCAGTATAATCAGAATCAATAACTCCAGGAATAACCTTAATCCCTTGTAAAGAAGTAGAGCGGCTTCCTATAATAAAGCCAAGAGACCCTTTAGGTAAAGGCCCATGTATTTTAGTAGGTATAGCTAAAACAGGAGAATCTAAAGGAATAACTACTGATTCTGAAGATGCCAAATCTAACCCTGCTGAATCCGGGGTGGCTCTCAATAAAGCCCTTATAGTATATCCTGTTGAAAAGGATTGGTGATGGCCTCTATTACTGGAAGGGCCCGAGGCTGGCCTATTACCAGTTTCCCGGTTTTGTAGGTTGGGAGTTATCTGTAAATTATTAGAATTAACTGGGGAATTCTGAGGAACAGTTGGCATTGGGCCACCTTCTAAAGGTCTCCCATTTTTATGAAATTTAGAGCGACACTCCTTTGCCCAGTGGAATCCCTTATTACAACGCGGGCATGGAGTTTGGGGTCTAGACATCTGATTGGGAAGTGCGATTTCTCTAGTTTGAAAATTTCTATTGGGGCAAACTTTACAAAATGACCCATCTGTCCACAAGAAAAACAACCCCGATTTCCTTTTCTTTGCCCTCTGTTTCGAAGCCCTTTAAGAAACTGAGCATTTGTTGGTCCCTGTAATGCTGCTGCTATGGCTACACCTTGTAAATACGAGGGTGGCATGTCAGCACAAACCTTAATGAAGTCAGATAAACCTCCTGTCGTTCTAATAGGTCTCAGAAGAGTCTGACATGCAGTGTTTGCATTCTCGAAAGCCAATTGTTTAATTATGATTTGTGCAGCTTCATTATTAGTTGTAATTTTTCCCACCAAATCTTTTAATCAGGATAAAAATGCTTCAAAAGGTTCTTCAGGCTTCTGTTTTATGGTACTTAAGCCAGAAGCTTTAATTTCCATATTTTCTAACTGTCTCCAAGCATTAACTGCTAAATCTGAACATTGGACCAAAGCAGGACGAGGCAAGTGTAACTGATCACTTGGCAGAGCCCAATCATTTTCTCCCAATAACATATCAAGAGTGACTTCACTGTTTACAGATTTATTATATCGAGAGCGCTCTTTAGCTCTATCTTTACAGTCTGTTTTCCATAACAGGAATGTCCCTCCGGGGAGACAAGATTTTGCAGTAGCAAACCGGTCATATGGGGTCATCCATCTACTGGCAATGGTATCTACTAATTGTAAAGAATAAGGAGAAGCTGGCCCGTAATCATGAACAGATTGTTTTAATTCTTTTAAAGTTTTTAAAGGCAGGGGTTCCCATTGAGGCAGATACTGTTCCTCGTCTCTATCAATAAAAGGGAAAGGGAAAGTAAAACCGAAGTCTCCAGATTGTAGAGCCTCTTTCTTGGCTCCTTCAAATCCTCCATTTTGCGAGGGAGGAGGTAGGGTAATTTTTATTTTAGAACCTGTTTTATCTTTGGTAGGAGATTTTTAAAAAGGTTTATAAGGCCCTGTGCCTAGAAAGGCAGGGAATTCTTCATTATAATATTTAGCAGTTGCCTTTTCTATATCATCTTCATCTTGTGGGCTGAGTTGCTTCTTATCGTCGTCATCGTTTATAACATAAACATTGTCTTTTGCTTTTTGTTTTAAAGGAGTTTCCTCAGTCAGAGCTGAAAGCTTAGTGGAACTGATTTTAGTTTTTAAAGTTTCAGTCTCATGAGCCGGATCTAACATCTCTCTTAATAAGGGCCATAACGCTATAGTATCTACAGGCATATTTTCTGGTCCATGATAAGAATAATAAGCCCTTAAACCTTCTCCTATCTTTGCCAGAGTTTTTAAATCTAAGGTCCCTTCTTCAGAGAACCAAGGGCAAGATTCCTGAATAAAATGAAAAAACCTCGTTAGTTGTGAAGCAGAGACCTGAATTCCCTTTTTTGTAAGCATATGTTTAACAATATCAATGAACACTTCTCGCTTCTTAGATTCTGTGCTACCCATTTTTCTCTTACCTAATTTCCCACTCTCACCTGCTTTATTAACAGGGGGCTCGTGAAACCCACGGGTAATGACCTATCCACTCTGAGAATGGGGGCTAAAGCCAAGGGGGCTTACCTACAGGTCACTGTTTCAGGTACCAAATACCGGGGTCCTGTCCCAGACGGATCCAGGGGGTCTTGAAGGTTGAGTGGTGTCGGCACAAGGAATGAGACAAGGAGTCGTTCCCTTGGAGCAATCTCCAGAGAGAGAGAGCTCTAATGCAGCTTTCTCTGGGTCATCTTTTATTACAATTTTTCTCATCATTATGAATTCAGAATCATTAATAAAATACGTCATTGATTTTACAACTTCCAGATTTTTCCCAAGATGTGACATTCCCTTTGCAATCATTATGGGTATATAAAAATGCATCATCAATTTACATTTTCCCAGGATGTGACATTTCCTTAGCAATCATTAGGGGTACAAGATCATTAATAAAATGTGTCACTAATTTGCATTTTTCTGATTTTCCCAAGATGTACTATTTTCTTATTAACAGATGCCAAACTATGTAACCAGACTCTAAGTCTCCCAACCTATCATTAACCTTTAAGTTTAAAGTACACCTGTACTTTATTTCTAATCAAAGATCCCCATCTAAAGGAAGTCCCCTTAAATCTTCTACTTAAAATATCCTAAAGTCTATAAACTATTCTTAAAGCATCTTAAGGACCCATACAGCTAAAAACTTAAGAATTCTAAACTTAAGACTCTAAATAAAATAATATTTCTAACATTATTCTAAAACTGTGTCTTATAAAGCTAATTTAATTAATTCCAACATTTATTCTCTTAAAATGGGTTGAGCTGCTTTCTCAAAAAGTTTCTTTGTTTCTTAGTCAAGGTACACTAGTTCTTATATCTTATATCTTATATTTTTATTATCAGTTTTGTCCTCAATGTACTGAGATAGTAGAACAGCCTTCTATTTTGTCCTCGATATGCTGAAAAGTAGTAGAACAGCTTTCAAGGCATGAACTACCTGTTATGTTCTAGCCATCTGAAATTTAATTTGGTTTAGCAATAAGCATACTCATGCTTCCTGTCAGGAATAGGAGCATGAAAATAAAAAGTCCCAATGACATCAAAAAGGGTCTCATGGTTTCATGAGTTTCAAAGCCCATCTGTGTGGCTTTGCCAGCACTTATCCTCACTGTGACCTTGTCAAAACAGTGGGGGGGGGGGGGCACCTTCACCAAGGTCGTTAGGAATGAAGGTCTAAGATAAACTATATATCCTCCCAGAAACATTTATACAGCATTTGTTCTAAATCAGGCCTCTCTCTTTGCTAAACCCTGATCTACAGAGCTAAAAAAAAAAAAAATGTGATTCTTCTTTTGGGATCTCCCAGTCTTGAGGGAGGGATATGGGGAGGGGTATAATGCAAAGTTAAAAAAAAAATGCTGAAGGCACACACATTTGGGCCCAAACTGTAAGCCTGCCATGAACAAGCTGCATGGCCTTAAGCAAGTTATTCACCCTCTCTGAGTACACCTACTTGCCCATAAAGTATAGATAATCCTTTTATATGTCGAATACCATTTAGCAAACATACCCCCGTGCCTGGTATTTGTACCAGGTTACTTACTTTAATTTTTCCTATACTTCATATTTTTGTTTATTTTTATCTTGAAAATTCCAAAAGAAACATTTAAAATCACTTCCAAAATAGGTAATGTGTGTACATGGTAAAGTAATCCTGAGATTTGGGGGCTGGGGTTGTTAGCTTAGAAGTAAAGTGCTTGCCTAACGTGTGCAAGGCCCTGGGTTCAATCCCCAGTACAAAAAAAAAAAAATTCCAAAAGTTTACAGTAAAAATTAGAATCCCCCCACCACCCCCCATCATCTTCTAGTCTCCATACATGCCCTCCAGCAGGAACTACGGTTACCACCACTGGTCCACCCTCCAGAGGTATTCAGACCTCACACAAAACATACACACAGCATTATTTCCACAGAGAACGGCACAGTGTGTGCCTGGTACCTCATTTACCAGTGTCTCTTAGAGATGGTTCCATGACAGAACACAGATCTGCCTGGCTTTGCTTTTTTTTTTTTTTTTTTTTTTTAAAAAGCAATTGTTTGATGTTCTGTTCTTTGGATTTATCTTGGTTTTGTGTGGTCTGTCCCTACCTATGGGTACTGAAGTGGTTCCTCTTCATGTCTATTTAAGGCTCACTGTGGTGAGGGTCTGAGTGCACACTTCCTTGAGCTTGTGTGTGAGCATATCTCTGGATAAACCCCAACAAGCAATTGGGTGTCATTGCATTCTTTGGCTCTCCACAAACCCCAACGTTGCTCTTTAGAGGGGAAGAAGCTGAGACAGTGGCCCTGCTGACTTTTTACCTCCAAGGACTCCACTTTGTTTGATAGTCACTGTGTCCCCATCTTTTTTCCCTGGCCATCCTTCATCTTGAGTGGGGGTGGGGTGGGCATTAAGGGATGGGAAGAGTGTGGCCTGGGCTTCAGTCCCACTCCCCCACTTCTAGTTGTGCGACGAGCCGGGGCCTTGACCTTGCTGTGCCTCTTGTGGACGTGAAGAGCACTAAGGTCTCCAGTCCCTTGGAATCACATAGGGGCTGTCAAAAGAAACACACTTCCTGCTCCTCCCTCAGTAGCATGGCTCCCAGCAGGGATCACAGTACGCCTAGCATGCATCTACTATATGCATAGCACTGTGCCGGTGCTCAGAGGAACTCCTGTAGGAGCTGGGCCTGAATCTGATCTATCAAGGAGCCAGGATAAAGGTGGCTGAGGGTTTCTGTGGCCTTGCTGGGCAGATCCTCAGGATGGCAGGGATTGTCCTGAGCCAGATCTGCCATTTGGATCTCAGTAAGTAAAATGTTCACCAGTCAGGCAAGGTCATCCCTTCCACAGCATCTCCTGAAATTGTGTCCCATCTGCAGGGATGTATTGACCCACTTCCCAATTCGGTCTTTATCTCAAGACTTTGTGTGAATTTCACATTGAGACAACAGGCCCCTTTGTGGCTGAGGTGGGGCCTAATTAATCCCTCCAGGAGCTCAGGCATGTTGAGCCCCGGGCAATTTATATATTTGCATCGATGTTGGGACCCTCCAATCAGGACCTCCTCCAGCTTATTTGGAGTCTTGGAACAAATTAGAGAAGGTGTTCTTGTGTGTGTGGCAGCCCAGTCACACAGCAAGGTAGGATGCTGGATTGGGACTCCTTACCCCTTAGCTAGCGGAAATTAGTTTTAACTGTCCCTGCCTTCTCCACGCAGGGTCCTGCCCCAGTCTTCAAATAGCCCTGGAGCCATCCAGTGCAGTGAACTAAACAAAGGACTTTCAGAATTGCAGAGAGGATTCAATGGATAACAATGCACATGGAATGTCTGGCAATAAGCCTAGCTGTTTAGTAAAAGCTTAGCAAAAACTGGCTTACTCCCCCCCCCTTTAAAATAATTTTTAAAAAGGGCTGGGGTTGTGGCTCGGTGGTAGAACACTTGCGTGTGTGAGGCACTGGGTTCGGTCCTCAGGACCACATTTAAAAAAAGAAAATAAAGGTATTGTGTCCATCTACCAATTAAATAAATAAATAGCAATCTAAAAAGAAACCATTTTTTGATTATTATTTCAGGGGGAAATTTTAGAACCTTTAAATACCAAATTCCCACAATGCCCTGAGTGGGATTGTCTACAGGCAACCTGGATGAGTCCAAACGCTCCAAGAACCTCTGCAGCCTCGCCTAATGCAGGAAGGAAGTAGCATTTAGTAAGTTCCTGCTGTGTGCGACACACTTAGAACAGTTTCTCTCTTTAGAGAAGCTCTGTGGGCAGGTGTGAGACTGCATCTCAACCTTGCAGATGAGGAACATCAGGCCCAGAGATTCCAAACTCACCCATCAGTTAGCCAGAAAGGGCAGACCTGAGCAGAATAGAATAGACATCATGATTGATGTATGCACATTCCATGTATGTATTACATGTCAAAATACATTCTGCTGTCATGTGTAACTAAAAAGTTTAAATAAATTTTTAAAAAAATAAATAAATAATTTATTTAAATTTTAAAATAAATTTTAAAAAATTTAAATAAATCGTATGGTTAAAAGGAAAAAAAAGAAAAAGAAAGAAAGAAAGGGCAGACCTGGGGTTCAACCTCAGAGAACTCAAGTCCACAGAAGTTTGGGGGCTGATGGCCAGATCACAGGCACAAAGAAACGCAGAACAATTTTTATTGGTTTTAACCTTTTGAAGTCAGCTTTGCCATCTCTTTTCACTGGGCAGAAGGGGAGAGAGACTGTCTAGCCTAGGGTCCCTACCTTACAACCGTCAAGGACTTGACTATTTCCTCTCTTACACAGCAGTATCCCACACACTAAGTACCAATTCCTGTTTCCCCATCATCAGCGTTAGACAGATGAAGCTTGCTTTGTAGAACTCAAAACAGGATCAGGTCAGCAATTAATTCTTATTAACTTAAATGGTCACAGCTAGACACCTTTTCCAAGAAAAGGGCCTTGCAGCCTGAAGCAGGGAACTCACACATTTTTCCTAGGGTCAAACACTCCATCACAGACTGAGAAGGTCCAGGACTGGCAGCCTCGGCCTATTTCATGGCAGAAGAGACTGGGTGAGATGCAGGACATGCCGGAGGCAGGGCAGGGAGAAGCAATACCTCAGCTGGGTGGGCTGTGGGAGATACCGCCTGGGTGAAACCATCATGGCCAGGATGCAGTAGGGTGTGGAAACTCCCTTGGTTAGAGAACCATGAGCTCTGCTTTCAGTTTTGATGAAGAAGGAGGTGCTGACAACCAGGAGGCCTGCTTGGAGACACTCGGGGTTTCTGAGCCTGCCTGTGGTCTCACAAGGAAGAGGAGGTGCCAGAGGAGCAAAGGGAGAGGGTGGCCTGTCTGTTGCCTCTGGAGTAAATGTCCAGCAAGTACTGGATGGGAAAAGAGTGGGAAGAGGGCAAGCTTGATTGCCCAACCTGTGCAGAAATGTCTTCTTTTTCAATTTTTGCTCAAAAGAAACCAGGAGATAAGGTTAGTGGGGGGAAGGCCAGGGCTGGTAATAACTAGGAGAAGTAGTCTCTCGGGTCCAACCGTGGGCTCATCTGGTCTTGCACCTGTCAATCCTTCTGTGACCACAGAACCCTGGATCATGACAGTGCTCCTCTTCAGCTGAGGCTGGAGGATGGCCATTAGTCCCAGTTTGCTTGGGTTTGAGGGGTTTCCCACAGGTGGGAATGATGAAAGTCCTGGGCAACACGAAACAGACGATTCATGAGAGAGCACGACTCTGCCTATTCCCTGCTGAGGACAAGAAGGACTTGTTAGTTCCAAGAGGAAGAGGAGGAGAAAGGGCTCTCCAAAACCAAACAGGGGAGTCTCTGAGACCTCTGTCTCCAGGCTTAGCTTCATGGAGGAAAAATGAGAGGACAGAAGTTGGTGAAGGTGGAAATAAAAAAAGAGCATAGAAAATAGCTTGGGGAAAGGTTAGGCTAAAAGAAGCTTCCCCTGTCACCTCTCCTTATCCTGCCCTTCACCTCTGTCCTTGATCCTCCTTCCCCTATCTATACACTAGTCAAACGCAACACCTTTTGGAGAAACTTTTGAAAATTGATGAAAGAGATCTGTCCCAAGTCCCCAAAGACCTAGATCCAAATGCTTGCTGAGCAAGTCCTCT